CTCAGTTGGGTTTTATTCAGCCACCGGGTCAAGGCGATTAATTAATGTCAAGGGGATGAGATGCCTCACCACTAGAGGCCTTTCATGAAAGGCAGGCTATATATTCAGTTCCACGTAGATTTTCCAGATTCTGGTGTTCTTTCCCCAAGATCAGTGCCGCATCTTGGAGACAATCCCGCCCCCAGAGTAAACACTCATTTGGTTGGGCATTATCTTCGAAACGCTGGAGATGCAAACTATAGCCTATGTCGTCTCAGTGTAACAGCATTACAGAAAACAGTCATTCTAGTGTTCTTTCATCCTATGTAATCTTCCTCCAAACAATTCCCATCAAGCCACCATCTTCGCCCATCCGGCAATCCCAAAGGGTCCACGCCATCTCTCCCCCTTACTTCTTCCAAGTCCCAACCGAGAAGATCACCCACCTGTAAGAATAAATAAAGGGGGAGCAAGCAATCCTTAATCTTGCAGAATCATACCAATACCATTCATGTATACGAAGAACAATAAGCCATGTTGCACCTCAAAGAATATCATGTTGCAGTTATCAAGGAGGTTTAAACGTAAATACCTGTATTCATCGCAGTAGTTGAAACCCTTGCGGAATGAGTGATGAATCAATGCTTGGTCGACTGGTGTGGTTTTCCTCAGTTAAATCTTCCTTCTTCCTTAGGTTTTCTCAGCTCTTTGACTTTAATGGGGTAGAGCAAGGAGGGCGGCTAGATGATTTAACATATTGGGAACCATAACCTAAGAGCCTTTATATTTTGACCTAATATGATCCCATTAAGCCTATATGGGCCAAAATGTGGTATCCACTCATTAAGCCCCATACCTTTTTGTTGAAGTCTACGGGCTTTGCATAAATGAATCACTTGATTTAACCCACTTATAAGATAGCCCATCAATGCAATTGTTTCACTGAATATGTAAACCCACTTAACAGATATTAAAACCTAACACCACCCAGATGGCATCCGTCGTTTCCACGACTCTGATTTCGGCAAGAACTTCCTTGGATTTCGATCAGATGTGTACATCCAGCAGAGTCCGACGCCAGCTCATGTAAAAATGGAAAGTCTTCCTATAAGCTCACTGAGTACAGTTGTGGGAGAGATTCAAAGTAGAGGTATCTTTCGGGCTCGTGGACAAGTCATTGTCAGAAATATCATACTTCCATTGTAAGAACTCAACGAAATAAAACAGGGAATCCAACGCAAATATCTTTGGAAGGGTGATGAGGAGCTTCCTGTGGTAGCGGTGGAAGCACAGTTCAATGTTGGTGCGATGCTCTGTTTCCAAGCTAATTACAGAGACCAACAAGGGGAAGAAGAAAAGATAGAGGGATAGGTGGAAAGAGAGAGAAAGAGAAAGAGAGATGATAGGAGGTGAAGGATGGCCGAGGAAAGTTGTTTAAAAAATCTGATCTTCCTCGTAAAGAACAAACCTAGAAGATGTAAGAGAAGTGTCTCCAATCTGATTATTATTGTCCCGGCCAAACTCTTTGAATTCTTCTTTATCAAAATGTCTTAGGCAAAAACAAACCTAGAAGAATCTATCCAATAACAGTTTTGGACTGATGTAAGAGAGAGAGGGAGGGAGGAGAACCTGAGCTACGTTAATGAGAGAGAGAAGAGATAGAACTATCTCAGCGGAAGCTTAATTTTCAAGAGAAAATCATCTCTTCCATTGCAGAGAGCGTGTAACAAATGAAAGCTACAGAACTCTCTCTCTCTCTGTGGCGAGTTAAACAATCGGTTATGCAAACGGCCAAAATAAGCCTGACGTGGTTCCAAGAAAGAATTACTGGCGATGCAATTTCTTCAGCAATTTCATCACATTGATAATCTGTTGGAGCAGGGAATGAGCAGCCACAACTGTAGATATTCCAACTAGGTACCTACCAATAAACCGAAAGATGTCAAATGAACTCCTTCAACAGCGTCTCTATCCATCCCTGGCGCATAAGAGCGTGGGTCTGCATATCAGCATATGAACTCAGAACTCCTTCAACATCGACCAGAACTGTCAGAACAGAGAATTGCTTCTCTATCCACTCAAGGTGAAGTGTTTCGTGTGGGTTCACTGGTGAAGAATTAGGAGACCCGTTTACTTGGCGATGATTCTTACCCCACGGGATGAAGGGTAATATTGGATTTTAAAAAAATTATATGTTGAGTAATGTCACATTTGTATGGATTTTGACGGATCATAGAGTAAATGTAGTTAATTGTCAGAAACAGTAATGATAGTCAATTAGTTAAACACAATAGGGGTAGCTTTAAGAAATTTGTCCAATTTTGAATTATGAATTCCAAAAGAATATTTTATATAATTATGTGTTACATTTCCTGAGATTTGCTGTCTGGCTCCCTTTATTTGCAATACAAATGCCAAACTGAGATATCTATATACTGCCATTCGCGTTTTCGAGCATTTGTTTGACATGTAAAAAAGTAATGATTATTAAATCATAAATATATTTTTTGACAATTTTATATTCTGAAAAATAAAGCATTTTTATACCTATTTTTTTATACAATTTTGTATTCTTTCTATAATCAAACTTTTTAACCAAAATTAAGGCATCGGAGCATTTAATGATGGAATCCATACTTAACACCCATTTTAAACAAACAAAATGAATACAAAAATGGTTTAAAATATGAACTGTATTTACATTCATAAACCTAAAAAAAGAAAAATATGTATTGTACATTGCAACCAAGTGCAGCCCTTTATTATTTTTTTTGTGTGCGTAGTTAAAAGTTACTTAATTAATGGTGATGAGGGCAGATTTGGCCCTCCAATGAAGTTGCGACACGTGGCACCTCGTGACAACTAGGCAAGCCCCCAGGTAACAACTTACCAAGTTGGTCCCCCCCCGGGCACTGGTCTGGCTGGCCTGGCGC